ATGCGCGAATAGGGTTTCTTGTTAATGCTAATTGTTATCGCATTGTGGATAACCACCCAACTTTGACATTCATGGGCCGGGCCCATGTCATTGGATAGAAGGGCGGAACGATTCCCGTACATCAACAGCGTGAATCGTTTCGATGTACTGCGACCGCATATGAACATGGTTTTATCAACCCTCGACTGAGCCTAAGTTGGTGTATCACATTNNNCATTATTTACAGCAGGAATAGACTTCAATGTCTTTCTAATGGTGCACAATGAGACAATTCAGGGGACAATGAAACCTCCTTGAACAGCGAGATCCTAACGGATCAACTTTGAAAGTTAAAATAGTTCATAGAGTCGGACGTACAGTTATAAATAATCACAGTTGTTTTCCACGAGTATTTTAAGACAGATGAATGAAAAACAAAGTCTGATTTCCACTTCGTCTGTTCGCCGAGCCTGGCAATTTGTTTGCAAACGTTTCATCACCAGCCGGGGTGACATCACCACAGCCACTGATGATGTTACCTCGGCTGGTGATGTAACGTTTGCAGAAACAAATTGCCAAGCTCGGCGAACAGGCGAAATGAAATCCAGTTCACCGGGAGCTACGTGAAGCGATTTTCAATATTTTGTCAAGAGTCGGAGTTATTAACTAATCAAGACTGCGGAAAAAGCGGTTTGAAAGTGACAGCAACAAAAAACAGTGAGAAAACAGAGCAGGCAACTGAATCTCGAAGTTCGACAAAAAATGATAAACCTCATCACGTGTGTGTGTGTGTGTGTATGTGCTCTACTCCGAACGAGTACTCCGGAATGCATGAGAACACGATCGGTGAAGAGAAGAAATAATAAATGATAAGATCAACACATAGGATCACGTGTGTTGATGCTTCTCGCTTTTTTTCTTTAACCACTGAGGTCTCGTTTGCGTGACAAAGTCAGAAAGCATCTCAAGTGTCATATCTACATATCTAGCTTGCAAAGTGAACGGCGAATCGGATCGATGAGGATAAGCTGCAAACAGTAACCACACCGCCAGAAGTCGGGTGTTCTCAAGTGAAAGATCAAGACGAATCAGATCCGGCACCGCATATGTTGTAAGATAAACAAGCATTAACGATAACGATTGGATAAAACCAACAACTATTACTGCCTATCTGTCAATTAAGGCTACTTACTTAAAAAGCGAAGCACGAACTTTGCACGATACACTAGCACGACCCATTTCTGCTAAACCCTATAGGACAAGAAAAGTAACTGCTTGTATTTCCCATAATAATATTTGACTTTGACTATAGCATCGGTGACCGGTTCGATTTAGGGTATTTTGAGTCGGTCGATCGGGCTTGATGGACAGAAGGGGGGGGCGTGCACTTTAAGCCTAGCCAAGTGGTAGAGAGCAGTGTGATCGTGAAGCGAAACGGGATAGTAACGAGATATTGTAAGTTGCCTTCATTCAGATAAATCATACTAAATATTATATACAATATTTCACAATAAGTACCATATGAATGACTCTACAAAATGACGCCCAAGTCATGTTTGTTGCAGTTAGTATCATCTGACGCATCTACAAAGCAACCAATCACGGTAATGGTTCATGAATAGACTGGTTCTAAAAGAGCTGCCCAGACAAATTTATTCGGTGTTGTAAAGGAGTTTACTGAGATGAAAGTACACTTCCTGAACACAGTTATATGAAACAAAGTGATAGAAGATTATGGAATCAGACGGAACCGGTCGTGTGCTTTTACAGGAAGTCCGTTACGTCATTCACATACTTATTATATATATATACATATATATATATATATTGTGCGACACAAGTCTGGGTTCAGACCGTCAAACAAACCACAATATAAAAATCGTTATTAAAGGGAAACTTCCATGATTTGCTCGTGGATGCTACTACTTGGTTGTCCGAACCAAAGCGGGTGAATTTTCTTGGGGAATTCACAACCGGAGTCTTCAGTCAACCAAAGCTTGACCCGCAGGGGCAGTGGGGTGTTGTGTGAAAACCGCAATCCATTGGGGGCTGGTGTCCAGCTCCTCGGATCATATGTCCTTCGGACGGGGTCAAACGTCCAAGGTGTCCTCGATACCCAATTGAGCCGGTGACCACTACCATCAGGGTTTTTAGCCAAGTTCCCCAGGTAGACTGCCAGGGTTTCATCGACCCGGTTATAGCCTCGGGTGTTGGCTTTTCGTCCTCTCGTTATGGTGGTGGTGAAGACAGTGAGTAGGGGTTACTCAGCGGAAGTTATTTGAGACGCTTTGTCTTAGAGGAGCATCCCGACAGGTGGAAGGAGAGGGTGACCAGAGACAACCTGAGACACCTACCCCCGACCATAATGAGGCTTTTGGTGGAATACAGGAATCGAGGAATATCATAA